TTGGCTTACCTAGCGGGTGAGGTTAGGTGTCATCACGGCTAGTTGGATTTTGGGTCGTGACAAGTTCACTGAAAAATTAGTAGGCATTTAACAAATGAATCCAGACTAGTGCTTTCTTTTGCTCTCTCAAAGTAGAATAAGGCGTTCATTATTTAAATAGTCACTCAACAATCCGAAATTATCTAATAAAGTCATCTTTCTTTCGTTTGTAATATAGAAGTCACTTAACTATGTCTACAATACTCAGAAGGTCACTCAACGAGATTTCTCAAACTTTTGATAGCCAAATACCTATTTACCCTCAAAATTATCAACTTTTATCTTGTTCTTGTTCTTTTTTATTTTTTTACATTTCTAATATTATGATTTTTTCTCTTTTCAATCTTACATTATGGACTTACCGATGGAACAAATAAATTTTATTTATAAAATAAAAAATAAAAAAATAGTTTTCTAGCATATATATAATGTTAGAATAATAATATAGTTGAGCATAATTTTCAAGAATATTGTATATTATAAAAGTACCTTTATTTTGAAAAACGTTATTATATTACGTGCATGGAATATATATTTTAAAACTTTTATTTTTTTCTCAATTGTGTAAATAAAGTTTTGAGTTTTTGTTGTTAATATCAAAATTATTATTACCAACAAATTGTTCTAATTAATTTTATTTACCATGCTCAATATTTTATTATTCCAACATTATTTATACTTAAATAATATTTTTACTTTTAAATTTATAAATAAAATTTATATATTCTATAGGTAATTCCATAATATAAATTAAAAAGAGAAAAAAATCATAATATTAAAAAGCTAAAAACTAAAATATAAAGAAGACAAAAGTTGATAATTTAGAGGGTAAAATAGGTATTTGGCAATCAAAACCTTTAGAAATCTAGTTGAGTGACCTTCTGAGTACTATAGGCATAGCTAAGTGACTTTGATATTACAAGCGAAAGAAAAATAAATTTAGTAGGTAATTTCGAATAGTTAACTGACCATTTGAGTAATGGACTCTAGAATAAGCACTTATTTATGTTTTGGTTATGTTATTTATTCAATTTCAGTAGAGGAACTCTTTTTTCTTTTTAAATCAAGAGAGTCTGTGATGCAAGATTCTGGTCTAAGAATAGGACATTCTCATTTTCTACATTAATAAATTCAATTCATTGTAACATTATTGTCGTGTCATTGAGGTGCATTGGTCACTCTTTCCGATTGAGCACCGTCACATTTGGTTATAAAAATTAGTGGACGACTCCTTTCTGAGTCAAACACTAGCACTTAAATTTCTTTTCTTGATCTGCCACTTGAAAAAAAAGTCTCCTAAGAAGATATTTTAAAATTCGAAGACCAAAAAGGAGATCGCATGGCTATTTAAAGTCTCAAAACCACAGGTTACTAGCCATACCATGTTCCTACTAATTTCTGCACTTATGAAGAAAACCTTCACATTTTTTCTCTTAACACTCTTGTTGCTTTACTATGTTATGACTAGTTCAGCCATGACTCATACCAACATTACCACTGATCAATTAGCTCTTCTTTCTTTGAAATCCCAAATTATATCAGATCCTTCTCATTTCTTGGATGAAAGTTGGCCGCGCGCTACTCCTGTTTGCCATTGAGTTGGAATCACTTGTGGTTTTCGCCATCACAGAGTTAAGTCGTTGAATCTTTCCAACATGGCTCTTACGGGCAGAATTCCACAAGATTTTGAAAACCTCACATTTCTTGTTTCTCTTGACTTGGGAAGCAACAATTTCTATGGAAAATTGCCTCAAGAAATGACACGTTTGTGTCGGCTTAAGTTTCTTGATTTAAGTTTCAACAACTTCGGAGGAGAGGTTCCTGTCTGGTTTGGGTTTTTACACCAACTTCAATTTCTAAGTCTTTGGAATAATAGTTTCATTGGATCTATTCCCTCTTCATTTGTTAACATTTCCACACTTGAATCCCTCGACTTGAGATCCAATTCCATAGAGGGCCAGAAACCAAAAGAGATTGGAAACCTTAAAAACCTGAGGTTATTAGGATTTACTAAAAACAAGCTCACAGGTTCTATCCCTGTGTCACTCTCGAATGCCACAAGGTTGGAGACATTAAGACTCTCTCGCAATTTCCTTCAAGGAAACATCCCAGAAGGGATCGACAATCTTCACAACTTGAACCTTTTGTCCATAGAAAATAATCGGCTTACAGGTTCTATACCTATGTCAGTTTCCAACATTTTTAAACTTGAAGTGATTGCATTTACCAACAATAGCTTATCAGGAAGTTTTCCCAATGGTTTATGCAATTGTCTTCCATTACTCAAAGAGCTTTATCTTTCCACAAACAAGCTTCATGGTCATATGCCTACAAGCTTGTCAAATTGTTCAGAACTTCAAATATTGTCTTTATCAGAAAATGAGTTTGATGGACCAATACATAGTGAAATTGGAAGTCTACGTAATTTGCAGATCTTGTATATCGGAGGTAACCATTTCACAGGTATGTCTTTATCTGTTGAATGCTAGTTGTATTTTATCTAATTACTTCCACAAATACTTATTGAACATGAATTGCAGGGATAATTCCACAGAGAATTGGAAATCTTGTTAATTTGGTGAAATTAAGCATTGAGGAGAACCAGATTATCGGCTGTCCCAATATCCATATTCAATATCTCCACATTGCAATTACTTTCACTACGGAAGAACAATATCAAGGGATCCTTACCACGGGAGATTGGAAACTTAACCAAGATGCAGTATCTAGAACTTACTTATAATATGTTTACTGGTGCGTATTCAAAGTGATAGCAAAAAATACAACTTAAACTCGTTAGTAATAATCCTTCTTTCTTCATGTGTTTCAAGGTGAAATACCCAAAGAGATAAGCAATCTCGTTGACTTGGAGGTATTTGATATTGAGTTTAATAGTTTTAGTGGTTCACTTTCAATGGAGATCTTCAACATATCAAGGTTGAGAGAAGTTGGATCTTTTGGCCAATAATCTATCAGGAACTCTACCATCAAACATATGTTCCGTCTTACCTAACATCGAAAGACTATCTTGGTAAATTAACCAATCTTGTTGGGTCTATTCCTCATTCTATCTCCAATTGTTCAAAGCTTACTATTCTAGAGCTTTCTCAAAACAAGCTCACCGGCTTGATTCCCAATTCTCTTGGATATTTGACTCATCTACAGACCCTAAACTTGGAGGGAAACAATTTAATGAGTGACTCATCATTAAGCTTCCTGACTTCCTTAACAAACTGCAGAGATTTAACATTTCTTTCTGTATCTTTGAACCCATTAAAAGGCATGCTTCCACTTTCTGTAGGTAATCTTTCCACATCTCTTACAAAACTTTTGGCCAGGGGTTGCAAAATTAAAGGGAGAATTCCAAATGAAGTTGGAAACATAAGCAACTTATTATACTTTGAAGTTTCTACTAATGACTTGGTTGGATCAATTCCCAGATCAATTGGCAA